CCTCTGGGGTAACCGTCTGCGGGGAGCAGCAGCCCGTGGGAGCCAAGCCGTCCTCGGACTGAGCCGGTGCTGGAGAGATGGGGGGCTCAGTCTTGGGGAAGGAGCAAGGAGCCCGAGCGGAGGGTGGGGCACAACCGTCCACCTGACCCGAGCTGCTGTGGCCATGCCCGCGTGCCAGCCGCTCAGCATAGGTCTGAGCCGGCCATCTGTGAGCCGGGTGCGGGGCAGGGACACCAGGCCCACGAGGGCACAGCCCTGCCCATGGGGAGCGCACACTCGCCCCGAGGGCCTGGGGGACCGGGAGGCTGGGAGGGGCTGTCACCGGGGCGCACCTGCGACCCATGTTAAAGTGTACACTGGTGTGTCCCCCGAGTGGACCTGACTTCCCAACCCGGGGCCACTCGGGACAGTCTGGCCCGCAGCTCACAGCTGCCCACGGCCGCCCTGCCTGGTCCTGTCTCCCCGCCGGCCCCCCTGGGGGCTCCCACAGCACACGTGGGCAGCAAGGCCCGTACTGGGCCAGGGACTGACCTGGGGACCCCTGATCTGGGCCAGGGCTGGGCCCAGAGTGTCGGGGTTGTGGGGGTCTCTGTCGGCACCCCAAGTCCTTCTGGGCAGAGGAGGCTTGGTGGGACCAAACCAGGAGTCAGGCCCTCTGCGGGCATGGAGGACCAAGGACTGTGTCCAGGCCGAAGCGGGCGCTGCAGGCTGGCAGCCTCGGCAGCCAGGGCCCGGGGCGCACGGGCAGGGGTCTGGCCCCAGGGAGCAGAGGGCGGGGGTCCGAGCTTGAGTTCCTCAGCTGTTTCCCGAGAGCCCGGAGGCTCCAAGGGGTGGAGGTGGGAGGCCGGCCGGAAGGCGCCGTGGCCCTGCCGCGCCCCCACGTGACTCCCGGTGACGGCAGGCAGCACCCGTGGGGGCCTCGAGGCTTCCGCCGGCGCCGCAGGCGTGTAACGTGGCCGGTCACCGGCCGCCCCGTGACTTCCGTGTGACCCGCACGGGCTCAGAGCGCTTCCCGCCTGGGCCGCTGTGGGCTGAGTCGGGAGGCCGGGGACGGCCGACCCCTCCTGCGGCACAGCTCTGGGGCGGGCTCCCCACAGGCAGGGGCGCCCCGATGCGCCGCGGCGCTGGGTCCCCCCGACCTCTCCCGCCACTCGGCCTCAGCTCCTGGCCCCCCCGGCTCCTCCAGCCCGCTGGGCTTGCCGCTTTGCCAGCGCCACCAACCCCCCGCCCGGCCACGCCAGCCACGGAGCCCGGTGACCCCTGGTGGTCCCGCCTGCCTCCCAAGGCTGCCCACGCGCTGGCGGCCGGGGCCCCGGCTGCCTCCCCTCACCCACCCTGTCCTACCCTGTTCGAGCCTCAGCATCTGCTCCACCACCTCCTGGCGTGTGGCTGCAGGCAGGCCAGTCCCAGCCCTCTCTGAGCCTCAGAGGTGGCGGGGGGTCACGGAAGAGCTCGGAGGAACCAGGCTGCCTCCCACAAAACCCGCTCGGAGGCCAGCTGCGCCCCTGGGGGGCTGTGACGACTCTCCGAGCCTCGGTTTCCTCCTCCGTAAAATGGGTACAAGGACGCTCCCAGGGACGGGCCTCAGTCTGGAGTTCAGCCCCAGGCTGGTGTAGGGATGGGAACTGAGCTGGGCCCAGGCGGGCCCCCCTCCCCCCACTCGCCAGCTGGGGGCTGAGGTCCCCTTTCCTGCTGTGCCAGTTCCCCCCTCAAGGCCCTTACCCCTCCTGGTCCTTCATTGAAGAAGATTTGTTTATTTATGCATATAAGAACTGAGGTGTGGGCCAGAGTGGGGGTGGTGGGATTTAGAGGCATCACCAGTCCCAGAGTGGGGAGCAGCCCAGGCAGATCGACTGAAACACACTGCTGAGGGGAGCGGGGGGAGGCAGGAGCGGTCTGCTGCGCCCTGTGGGCTGCCCCCTCCCCCCCGGTCCCGCCCCCCCCCCCCCCAATCTGGCCTCGCTGCTTCGCAGGGCTCCAGGAAGGCAGGGACTCACTTGACCGATGAGAGGGGCTCGCAGTGGGGGGCAGACAGGCTGCCCCCCCGTCTCTGCCTGCCCCATGCCCACTAGGGCTGGGGCCCAGGAAGGCGCCCCTCTCTTCAGCTGAACCTCGGTCTGTTCTGCTTTGTCTCTCTGGGCTCCCCTCCCCGACCCGGGCTGTGGGCCCTCACCCGGGCACCGCTCTCTGCGGGGCCGTCCTCCACCCCACACCTCACCCCACTCCAGGCTCTGACTGGGCTGAGCTGAGCAAGACATCAAGACGTGTGTAGGGGAGGGGCAGGAAGGCTGCCCCCCAGCTGGTGATCCTGACACACCCCTCACCTCGGAGCCCCCTGAATGAGCAGCTGCTTTTCAGGAACCCCCCCCCAAATCTGCCACGTACGTGAGGTTTTACCTATGAGGAAACTGAGGCCCAAGAAGGGAAGGACCTGCCTTTCGGGGCTGTGTGCTGACCCCCCAGCTGGGCGGGCTTCTGGGGGTGTCCTGAGCGCCTCGTGAGCCTTTCAAAACTACCTGGAAAGGGGCTTCCTTAGCGCACGGGGGTTCCCCTGCAGGTGCCCAGAGCTTCAGACCACAAAGCGCCAAGGCCCGTTGCTGCCTCAGGGCCTGGTCTGCCCCAAAGGGCTGGACGGGAGGCGGCCACCAGGGGCGTCCCTGCGAGGGGCGGAGCCCAGGGACTCGGGGCGCAGTCGCAGTCGCCAGTCCTCACCCTCCACAGTACTCCAGGTGCCTGGGGCCGCTAGGGAGGCCCAGAGGCCTGGACTCCGACCCCCCTCAGCCCCTGGCTCCCGCTGCCCCCTGCCGCTCTGGCCTCTGCCTGTTCCCAGACTCACCGGCATGTTCTTCTAGGGGCTCTGCCTGTGCTGCGCCCACTTCTGGAACATTCTTCCCCAGTGTTCTCCCTCTTTGCTCTTTGACCTCAGAGGTAGCACCCTGGGGCGCCTTCCCTGACTGGGGGTCCAAAGCAGAAGCCCCTGTCCGCTTCCTTCAGCCGGCTCCGTTTTGTCACGGGGCGTGTGCCCTCAGCAGAGGGGACGCAGCTCTTCAAGTCAGGCTGGTCCTGAGGTGGCGATGGCCAGTCCGTGACCATGGGCAGTGACCAGAGCACAGAGGCTTCTTGTAGGGTCACTGGCTTTATGATCAGATGTGGCCTCCGGGAGCTGAGAACCAGAGCGTGTGGATGGGGTGGAGGTGGGGGAGGGAAGAGATTCAGTGAGATTTCAGGGGATGAGTCTCCAACACAGAACTGAAAAGACGTCCGGGCCCCCTACTGCTCCCTTCAGCAGGAGGCCGGGGGGGCTCGGACGGGGAGCCAGAAGATGCAAGTCTCCAGGGGGTCCCTGACTGTATTCTGGAGAGGTCAGGTGGGCTGGGTGTCCAAGCCCTGGACTTGGGCTCCAGGCCCAGACAAGTAGAATGACTCCAGCCCACGGCCACTGGCGCTGGGTCTTGGCCAAGCGGCCATGTTGGGGCTCTGGTTCCATTGCCCGGACCAGGCCTGGGAGACAGGAAACGGCCCCACGCAGGGCCCAAGAGGCCCGAGCATGCCCCTCCCTCCCCACCTCCCACAGTGGCCTCAGGCCCCTGCACCCCTGCGCCCATGGGGTTAAATCTCTCCCCGTCTCTCTCTGCTCCAAGTTGTTTTCCAAATGAGGCAGAGAATGGTTCTCTTGTTACCAACATGGCTTCTGGGCATTGGGTAATGCGCTCCCTCTTCTCCCTGCCCTGCGCCACAAAGGGGCCTTTTGTTCCACTCCCTGCCCCTCTCTCTGGCTCTTCCCCTGCCCCCCCCCCCCCCCACTCCCTCCTCCCTGCCCCTCCCGCCCCACACTGCACCCCAGAGCTGCACGGAGTGACCGTGGCCTGGCCGTGGTGACCCTCCCTCCCCGCAGAGTCCTGGGAGAAAAAGGGGCCTCATGGCCGCGGCGGCCATTTTGCCGCGGCCTATGCAGGCAGCCCCGGCCTGCGGTGAGGCCTGCCATGCGGGGAAGGCCGCTGTGGGGGTGGTGGGGTGCACCGCCTGTCCTCCAGGACAGGAGGCCAATCCCCACCCCCCCAGCCCCGCCCCGTGGCCGCCCCTCAGCGCCACTCGACACCTCCCACCCACCATCTTGATGGTCTGCGGGCGGCCTAGGAGGGATGTGAGTGGAGCCCGAGGCCGCGGTGCCAGGGGTGCGGGTGGCCCTACCTGTGGCCCAGCGGGTGCCGCCGCAGGCCTGAGCCCGCGCGAGCCCCCCAGCCTGACCAAGAAAAGCAGGCGCCATGGCCGCGGGAAACAGCGAGGCAGGCCGGGCTGCCAGCAAGAGCCCACAGCCAGATCTGCCGGGTTCACAGAAGTAGAAGGAAGGAAACAGAACGTGCCACGGTGGGAGTGTCAGGAAGCCAGTTAGCGACCGGAGTGCCCGCTCCCAGGCCTCAGTCTCTGCCCACCTCGTGCTCCCCACAATGCCCCCGAGGAGGAAAGGGCAGAGGC